TATATATATATATATATATATATATATGCATAAAGGAGAAAAGGTTGATGAATTCTTCCTTGAATTAAAAGGTTATGAATTCTTCCTCCTTTTTGGGGTGGGGGGTCCTAATTTTTATTAATTTTGATTAACTTTCCTCAACTACCTAATAAAATGGTTTTGTGGGCACCACTGCAATTAGCCCAAAAATAAATATTTTGTCTTCAATTAGATTAAAGATATAGGAAAGGGATCGTCTTGGGATCCCTTCCACCAAATCAACCTGATCCTTAAATTCGGGCCCTTGAAATTTGATACAACAGCTACAAACAGAGTCCCTTTAAAAATTATAATAATTTTAGCCATTTGATCAAATTTCAAGAACTTGAATTTAAGAATGTGGTGAATTTGGTGGAAGGGATTTCCAAAGATATATACTTTGCTTCCATAACCATTCACAAGGTTTGGCAAACTACTCCTTTTTTGTCAATAAATGCTTCATTGAGCCAAAAGGCAAAGGAACCACCAAAAGGCCATCTATAATTTCCAAGTTTTTCATTTATATATGGATTATAAATGACACTTTAATTACTTGGAATAAGAATCTGAATTCAGGTTTATTATTTTTCAGTGTTTGCTAACAAATCGGTATTGAAATTATTTTAATTCATGACTTTTCTTACTTTTACTAACACATACGAATTAAAACCCACCACGAGGTTGCTTGGTGGTTGTGGACGAATTCTAAATTTATATTTCATACAGCATATTCTAAGTTCAATTTCTGACGTTGGTAAATCACACACTATAGGGAGGTTTAAATACTTCTGTGAGTCTTCTCGACCTCCAAAAAAGTGAACTGACAAAGTCACCAACAAATCTTTTTTTTTCCTTAAAAAAACATACGAATTAAAAAACATGTGACTTTTGTCATTCTAAATAAACACGTCATAAGTTACATAACTTGTGTCCTATTTTTCAATGTTGTAAGTGGTTTCTTGTGCTCTCTAGCCCATAGTAGAAATCGTTTCAAACCTTTCCCATTGAGATTCGCTCCACAAGGAGCTAAGCATCACATGATGCTGAAAGTTCCAGACCATATACGTTAGGATTTTAATTTTTAAAAAAATGTCACTATTATATTCCTAGCTTTTTCTTAGTGGTGAATTCTTTTGGGTATATTTCTATCCTTTGCATAAAATAAAGTGAAAATTATAGCAATGATTTGTCAATTTTAATTAATTAGTAGTATTTCAACTAAAAATCATGACCATTTTAATTAAAAATCATGATCATTGGTCTCTTAACTCATCAAAACATGCAGTTAAGGTCATTTTCGTTTACTTCATCATAAATTCATCAAAATGAGTGATGTTGGAAGGATCATTGCTACAATTGGATTAAAGTTGAGTGACAATTGCTATAATTGGGTTAAAGTTGAGGAACCATTTCTCCAATTGAGTTAAAGTTGAACGACCATTACTACAATTTTTCTAATTTGGTTTTCCATATTTGCTATTTTGTTCAGCCTCATATGCATGGCGCATGACTTATGTTGAGGAAGTTTTAATGGAGTTGAGACATTTTGATGGGTTAAGAGACCGATGATCATGAATTTTTAGTTCTTCAACCATTACTCCAATTGTGTTAAAGTTGAAGGACCATTACTATAATTTCTTCTAAAACAAATAAATAAATAAATATATTTGTTTACCAGAACAAAAATAATTTTATTATTGTCATGTCATTATAATTATATATCTCCATTCTCATGGGCCGGAAAATTTATATTACCTGATATTTTCTGGTTTATTGTAGAAGAATTAAGTTAAATTTGAAATCAAATGTAATATATAACTAGTGCTAAATTAAAAGTTATATTTGACTTTCGATAAAACTTTAGAGTGAAATGTGAGACTCCACCTTTAAAAGATACGACATTTATGTTTAACTTTAAATTTGACTTAATCTCTCCCTAATTTAAATTTTTTGATTCAATCATTGAAATTTAACAAATAATAAATTTATGTTGCTCATGATTTACACGCACAAACTTAAATTTGACTTTATAATTTATTTCACACTTGACACGTTGTTGTTGTTTTTTGTTCCAAAAAAGGAGAAGAAAAAACACGTTGTTGTTATTAGAAATTCAATCAATTATTCATGAAAGCTGGAAAAAAAAAAAACCAAGAGAGCCACCCAATTACAAATTTTAAAATGACGCTCCAACCTGTGACATCTCTGTTTATCCCCTTATGCAATTATTGCTCACATTTCTCATTTTTTATACCCAAGTGGATAATGCTTGTGTCGCGATTAATAAATATTTATTGTCCGAATATCATAATCGAAATTGTTCATTTTCTTTATAATTATTTAAATATTATATGTGCAAAAAATCATTCAATTTGAAAATCAGTCATTCATACATGTTAAACCAATTAACAGTTTTAGTAACAAGTAATGAAACCTAATATGTATTGTAATGATTCAGAACATACGCGTGAATGATGATCAACTGTTTATACAAGAACTATCCCAAGTCAACAAGATTCCTCGCTTTGAAAGGATCGGGAGGGGAAAATGTCTATCATACGCAGTTTTACACTTACTTTACAAAGAGACTGTTTACACGATTCGGACCTGTAACCTTTTTATGATCAACCATTCACATTATAAAATTTATTCTATAGTCTCATAATGTATCAACGCGTAACATTTACCCACATAAAACATCACTCAATCATATCTTAACTCATAAGTTATGAATGCACGTTGTCCAATATCTTAGTGGATAAGATGTTATAGGATGTTAAGTTTTTACCCATGTCAGGCATCCAAGTTTGAAATTCCTTCTTCCCCTTTATTCTTATAATAATTTAAAATACTTCCCCCTTAATAATAACGAATTAAAAAAAAAACTCATAAATTATGACTCATTAGAGGCATCAGATTTATTTTTTATTGTGTGTTGTTCATAAAATTAAAACTTCAAACTTTATTTTTTATATTTACAAGCGATATCTAAACTACATATTAATAAAACACTCATTGTCAACCAAAACTATATAAAATTACCAGTTTAGCCCTCTAATTAAAACTAAACATGAATAAATAATAGGGAGTTTTAACAAAAAGCCCATGGTACTATTCATTTTAACGAAAAACCATATTTTTATACTAAAAAGTCAAACATAGTACTATTTATTTTACCCTTTATTTTGTCCTTATTGTTAAAACTTAAAGTTTTCAAGCCATTTTCGTTAGTTTTCCTTAAATAATATGGGCAAAAATGTAATTTCACACAATTAAATTTTGCTTTTTTTTTTCTTTTCAAAACCTCACCTACGTGTAATCCAAACATATATTTAATTAAAAACTAAAAAAAAAAATTCTCACTCCCACATTCTTCATCACTCTCTTCCTCTCTCCTTCTACTTCAAAAAAATAAAAATAAAAAAATTTCACACACACTTTGTGTGTGACCATATGCTAGTTGGAAAGAGATCATATTCGGATCTCTTCCACCAAAACCACCGGATCAAGTGATCCGAACCTTTGAAATTTTATCCAATGATAAAAAATTATTATAGTTTTTAAAAGATCAAAACAGATTGGCCATTAGATGAAATTTCAAATGCCCGAATCACTTGATCTGATGATCTTGATGGAAGAGATTCGAAAAAAGATATCTTTTTCATGCTAGTTTTCATTAAATTCATTTAAAATTATTGAAAAAAAAAAAGATTGAGCATCTATTGCAGGAGCACGATGTTTTAGCTAGCTTAACAAATTTACAGGAAACGAATAATTTGATTCGAAAATGTGACGTGAGCATTTTTCTAACTTTTGCGATTTGATGGAAGCCCATGCCTTGATTCTCATGCAGAAATGTTTTAATTTCCACCCTTCACCTTGAACAACGAGCTCGGCCCACTAGCCCAGGCCAACGATAATTCTATTTAATCCCCTGCATCCCCGCGTACTGTTGTCACGAGCCAAGTTACAATCATGCTGCGCCACGTATGCATATGCTTTCGTCATCCTTTAAAGTCAAGGCTGACCTGTGGAGAAAGTACGCGTGGCAGGACGTCGAATCGCATATTCTTTTTTTTTTTGGTAAAAGAATCGCATATTCTTTTATTTCTTTGCGTCAAGAAAAAGGAAGATTATGATATTGGGAGTTTTAAAGAAAAGCCTGTGATACTGTTTATTTTAACGAAAAATTATATTTTTACATTAAAAAGTCAAACCTGATGTTATTCACTTTACCTTTTATTTTGTCATTATCATTAGGATTCAAAGCTTTCAAACTCTTTTCATTAATTTTTCTTATGATATTTAAGGTTACATTCCAATACAACGTAATTATTATTATTATTATTATTATTTTAAATGACAACTGATGTTATTCACTCTTTTCGAGAGTCGGAAAGATTTATAGAAATATTTCAGCTTTCTTCTGATCACAAGTTTGACTTCCACACCAACAACAGGTTTCAACCCCAAAACCTCTAGTTTTTAGTACAACGTAATTATTTGGTACCTATTAAAAATTGAAAATCTTATCTCTTTCAAAAGTGGAATTCTCCACTGATTTTCTACCACTTTATATTTTTAGTACAATATTTTATAATATCGACGTAAAAATTAACGTAAAACTGTGAGATGTCAGAGAATTAATAAAAAATTCAACTTTGAGAAAATCTCGTTAGCATTTATCTTAAAAACTCAAAAGTGCTACTACACTACTCCATTATTTTCCATAAAATTTGTAAATTCTAATTATGTAGATTCAATTTTTTGAATTCACTTGCAACCTATGTCTTACATTGAAATTATTTAATTTTAAACAAATTAATTATATCGTTCGTGTTTTTAATATTGTACATGAATTAATAGAGTCACACGATTTATACGCAAAATATTAAGATAATGAAAAGAAAATTAAGTTTATGATTGAACATGTTCTATAAATAAATACCTCGTAATGCAAAATTACAAGCAGAAACGTACAAATTATTTTTTAATTTTTTTGTGGAAAAAGAGCGCTTAACAGGATTTTGTGTTGTTCTCAAGAACCACCTTCCTTCTTCCCTCCCTCTCTCTCTCTCTCTCTCTCTCTCTCTCTCTCTCTCTCTCTGACTCTGATTCTGATTCTCCATAGCAAAAATGTCCAACGGCGACGACCCAATGGAGGAAACAAATGGGGATTCGTTTCACCAAGCAGTGAGGCAAGGGTTGAAAGACCGATCAAAGGTATGGCCAAATTCGTTTCCTTTTTTGGCATTTTGTTGTAAAGACGGTTGTTTTGGATTCTGGGTTGTGTTTGCTTCTGGTTTTTGTTGATTTGGGAATGCTTGGTTTTTCCAGAAAGTTGCTCAAACCAAAGAGATTTTGTCGAAACAAGCGGTTCAGACCAGAGAGATCCTCTCAAAGCAGGCTGTGAAGATCGTCAAGCAAGCTGAGGAACACGAAAAGTTCATCAACAAGGTAAGCACTTCAATATTTAAGTAAAAAGTTGAAAACCAATTTCATGTGATTGAATTTTGATCAGCATGTATTGTGTTTGTGCCATTGTTTGAAGTGCATGTATTGGATTTGTTAATTTTTGTGTTGGAAGTTTATAAGTTGTTTTTTACCTGCTTTAGGTGACGCATCTTGTGGGGGTTCTCGGTTTCGGTGGAATTTGCTTCCTCTTAGGAGCAAGTAAGGTTTCTTGATTGGTGAAATGGTTTTAGTAATTACTATTTGAGAAAAGCAATTACGTTGTGTTTTTGTTTCTTACATTTTCATCTTTTAACAGGACCGCAAGACACTCGATATGTATATTGTTTGTTCTATGTCATCTTTGTTCCTCTTCGTTGGATATACTATCGGTTCAAGAAGTGGCATTACTATCTTCTGGTAAGCTTTGCTATTTCATATTGATTTCGTTAAATGCATCTGTTATTCAATTAATGTATGTGGACCTCTAGTAGTGATTTAAAGTCTGTTAATAAATTGTTACTGCATTTGGATGAATAGGGTATTGGTCGTATACATTGGACGATAGTGATAACCATTCGCGTAAAACAATTAAATCATTGGGGGTGGTTTTGCCATCTTCAATACATATTTCGGCTTGATATGGGGTTCCAAGATGACATAGTGGGAAAAATTTTGGGTGTGTTCTAACTGGTTTTGTTCTTTTCTCCTTTTTATTGTCTTACCTACCTTGACAAAGAAGAATGAATACTTCATAAAAAGTTAGAGATAAGAGAGGAAGCAACTGTTGGTTTGAAATTAAGAATAGTGGCCAAGTGTTCAGGTTACCCTAGTTCCATGTTCTCTGATTGAAAGCTTGGTGGAAGCTTTTCAATCATTTGTAGAAAATCGCTGTGCTCCTATCATCCTTCGCTCTTGTACTTTCTACTTTCGTTGGAGTAATTATGATGAAAACTGAGGAAGTAATGTACGTGTTTGTATGTTTTAGGACTTTTGCTACTATGCCAATACGATATTTTTGGTTGACCTGCTTCTTTATCCAAGGAACGAAAAGTTTTTCATGGTTTGCTTCTCATTTGCTGAGGTAAGCAAGAACTCCTTAGTTACTTTGCTTTGTGATGAAGTAACGATTCACTTGTTCAATTGTTTATTCTTTCAAATGCGCAACCAGGGGCCGTTAGCATGGGCATTGATCGTTTGGCGTTGTAGCTTGGTTTTTAGTTCTCTTGACAAAATTGTTAGTGTCCTCATACATCTTTTACCCGGTGAGTCAATTCTTTCCTTACATGTTCTTATGAAGTACCTTTGAAACAATTTTGCAGTGTTTGAATTCTATCTTTTTCGTTGGAAAATTAATACCACGACTTCAAATTGTTATAACTTATAGGTAAAAACATTGCCTAAAACAGTTCTCTCATTCTGTAGAATGTGCACAGAACTGCACATATCTAAGATCAGAGAGAGCTTCCTTTGTGGTGGGTTATATGGTCTCATATAGATTCAAAAATTAAAATAGGAAAACTAATGAAAGGGGCTTGAAAACTGAGTTTTAACGATAAGTACAAAATAAAGGGTAATGTGAATAGTGTCAGGATTGACTTTTTAGTATAAAAATGTGGTTTTTCGTTACAGTAAACAGTACCAGGAGCTTTACGTTAAAGTTTCCGAAAAGTTTATGTTGCATACTCTCTAGTGATCAATATACATTAATGTCATGCCCCTGACACAATAGGTTTACTTCAGGGTTAGTTTTCTTCACCATTCGATGGTGGGATCCAGCAACTTTTGCAGCCATGCATCCGGAAGGAACTTCTCGCAGAGCTTCATGGCCTTACGTAGAAGACAAATCCTACCTTTGGTTATGGCTCTTTTGGGTCCCCTTGTTTGCTTACACCCTCTGGCAGGCTTTGTATTTCCTCATTGTCAATGTTTTACGCCGGCAAAGGCTGTTGAGAGATCCCGAAGTCATGACTTCTTACAGGTTCTTACCGCCTCTCTCCTCATCATCCCTTTAATTTTGGTTCTCCTTTTTCTTTTTCCTCGATTCTGATTTCTTTTCCAACAGGGAGCTCTCAAAGAAGGCGCAGAAAGCAAACAATGTATGGTGGCGCTTGAGCGGTTTGCTTGGGGATCAGAATCGCTTGCTCATGTACATTCTACTCCAAGGCGTATTCACTGTGGCGACAATGGCGCTCACAGTCCCTATCTTCCTGTCATATGAACTGCACGTTAGCTTCCAAATACTCAAGGTTTCCGCAACTGTATGGAACGGAGGAAGTTTCTTGCTCGAGGTAATGCCGAGGCAAGTGATTCTCAAGGAGAAGAAGAAATCAGAAGTGCAGCCACACAAACTCAGGGGGATCAATCGTTGGATTGTGATCAAATGACAAGTAATCCAGTCGAGGCATCCCCAAGTCCTGTGAAGTAGTAGGCTGTGTAATTTTGTGTTCCTAGAACTTAGCTTTTATTTGTAGAAGGTTCATATTTCTTTTCCAGACTGATGGGAAATGATTTGTTTGTGTACAAATTTGCAAAAAATGAAATTCGGACCGTTACGTGCAAGAACCTTAGTTATCTCTCTCTAGTTTCCTTCTCAGCTAACCATTCCTTTCTTTTCTTTTCTTTTTTTGAAGTACAATGATATATTTTACAAGAGGGGAAGTTCGGCTGAGCTACACAATGGGCAACCTAATTTTGTATCAAATTCACCATCTACGAGATTCGAACCTAAAACCTCACTTTCAAGTGAAGAGGAATATCATCAAACCGTAATATTGAGTGGCAACCATTCCTTTCTTGTGGTTTAATTTTGGAAGATTTGGTGGGCATGGAGAGTAAATTATTAAGTTTCTAAAAAATTTTAGGCAGAAAAAGATTGTTGGGTGGATAGAGTTAAAAGTTGGGTGCGAGTAGAAACTCCCCCTTTTTTAATGGTTCTAACTCATTGGTCAGGGGCAAGTTGGTTAATTAAGATGAGAATGACGAATGAAGATGATGAATATTGAACTGGATTCTTGGTTTTTCTTTCTTCCAAATATAATAAAAGGGGCAATCCCAAACTAGCAGGCTCCCCACTTTGTGAGGGTCAGAGAAGGGAAAAACGTCTATCTTACGCAGCCTTACTCTTGCTTTTCAAAGAAATTGTTTTCACGACTCGAAACTTCTGACTTCGAGTTCTTACAAGTACCGAACTTCTGAGTTCTTAAAAGTAATGCACAAATAAGGAATAATTGAAAGCAATTTTGAGGAAAAGAGGTCAAACAAAATAAAAATCAAATAAATTTTATATTCTGTAATCTTGTTAATACAAAGGCTTCCATCTAGTATTAGAAGTAACAAAAAAAAAACATTACACAACTTAATTACAACTTGCTTCCACATACAACAAATGATGGCCTACAAATCCACTCAAAAACCGGCAGACGACCTTAAAACCCAAGAAAGAAGCTACCGGGCGCCAGTGCCCGTTTCCAGGCACGTCGTCGCATAAATTGCGACGCGGCAACCTACGAAAAACCCTCGTGTTGATAAAACTCGAGGGAAAGAATGAACTGACTCCGCCATCCAAACCAAAATGGATGGCATGAGCAGATAAAACAAGCTCTATACACAAATGTTGATGATTACAAACAATGAAACTATATGCACAAGTTTCAGCACATCACCTGATGTGCTGTGTGTCTTTCGACACAACCATGAAGACCCGAGCGGAGCATGAGAGACGATGATCACGAATATCATTCAGACCGGGGGAGCAAGAAGCCAAACCCAGAGTGTTCACGAATCAATGGTGGAGGTTCAATGTCAGTTACGTCTACTTGTTGCATTGACTTTGAGATGTCGTCCACCGAGAATGGTATGCTGCATGGAAATTCATCGAATTTAAGCAAAGATGTATAATTTTCAGATGGATAATCAAATACAGAATTACATTGTAGTTCGGGGATCACGAATATCAGTACCTTGAGTCATCGTCTAATAGGAAAGAGCTGCTCACAGCATTGTTGGAGTCCTCAGTCATCAGAACTCTCATGCTTGAAATAACCTAAGGTATCGACGAAGAATTTTAGAAACGAAATGTTTTAACATACATCAGAGGACAGAGGCTATATGTCGGTGCCATTTGAAGTCGACTTACATCTGAGGACACACTATGTGTACCGTATTTGTCATCCCAGTACATTGTACTGATCCTGTATAACTGCTGTATGCTAAGCACCTGATGAGGCCACAAGCAGCAATAACATCAGAAGGAAGGAAACATACAATTACGGGAAAAGAAAGAGGTCCGACATTTCAAAGGAAGAGACACGAACCGGGCACAGTTCTTTTGTTATTTCATTCAAGGTCTTCTTCGGTTTCTGATGTATAACCTGAATTTTTTCAGAAAATGGGTCAGCAAATTGTGCAAAAAGTGAGAATTCCCATTTACTGCAATTAAAAGATCATAGAAACGAAATTTTACTAGGAATCCAACAGCCTGCCTAATATGCTTCAGTTCATCCCAAGCTGAGCCGGCGTACTGTTGACAAAAAAGGTTTAAGGTAAAGACATGAGAGATTTGTGAAAAAAGGGTAAGACATGAAAGAATGCATAAACTAAAGTTACAAGTGTCGCATGGTTCTTACTTCCTCACTTGCCCCATAGCACCACTGTTCTAATTCGGCCAAACCTGCTTTCACATACTCCCCATTACTGAACGAACAACACTCACGCCGCAAAAGAAGACTGCAGAAAATGATTGAATTAAATGCCACAAGACCTTTAAACAAAGAGTGGTGAATGGAAAAAAAAGGGGTGGGGAGGGAGGCCGCAGAGAGGCAGAGGACTGATTGGATCTACCTATTGAATAGCTGGACATTGATGAATGAGAATATCTGAGTGAACACCTTGCGGACCAAGAAGGGAGGCACCTGCGATACGCCAAACAATATAAGAATAAAATACTGTTCACCAGAGAATCACAATTTGTTTACGTTCTATGGGGAACTACAGAACTCACATAATTTGCTTTCATTGTCTTCAAGCAATTGTCCAAGCTTTTCACAATGCTTTGCCAATGGGCAATTAAAGCTTGCTGAGCGACAGCATTAGCTTGGGCACGTCCTTTCACTAAACTTGCCCGTGATGTCCTGGGGGCCTGCATAGTAAAAGCGAAATCAGTCAAACTTTCCAGTTGTTCAAGTTGGTATCCCCATTATTTAGGGAGGAGAACATCTACAACACCAATACACGGGCAACAAGAACAAAGTTTTCAATTCCTCTTTTATTAGCATATTCAGACACAATTCCTTCTTTTATTTTCTTTCTTATCTCACATATGGCTATGGATTCTCAAAGAACATGCTTTTGTTCACGGAACCATAAAAAAGTTAAGTAAGCCACCTGGATGCATAATCCGAGCAATGGTGATATCTCCTTCTTCAAATTGTCCCTCATCATTCCATATATCTTCTCAAGGAAGGCAGTAAGCTGCTGCTTAAACAATAATGCAGGATACTTGGCCTCAACTTGCCGTAAGTCATCCAGTCTACCAAGTCCTCTACCATTAAGAAATGAGAGCCCCCCACTTTGAGGAGAAGCCCGTAACCCCTATGAAGACGAAGGTACAGATGAAGATTGGTAGAAAAAATAAGGGTAAGTACAATATGAAACAACAAACTACTTAAATTAGAAGATAAGTAAATGTAAATGCTCTGTACCTGAGACATCCTTCCAAAAAGAGATGCTGATGATGTTCTCCTCCGTTGTGGTGTCATGCTAGCTGCTCCACTTGCCTTTAGTGTGTGCTGGAGCAGCAACAATAAAGTTGAGGTATTGGATAACCAATAAGCTAATACGTCATTATTATCCGGGACCTGCAGTACGTAAAACCAATTGTAACATGTTTAAGAATATTCAAAACTTGTTCTAAAATGTAGTAAGAGGTACGATAAAGTTTGGAGTAACAGGCTGAGATTTCTTAAAACCACCCAGAGTAACTTACCTCTATGGCTGAAGCTATTGTTTGAATTACACGGTCGAAAATTCCAGTCCTTTCCACTTCAAAGGACCTCCAGTGAAGAAGACATTTGTATATGACACAAGCAGCAATTGGTCTTCCCCCGAAAAAACCCAAATCCTGTGATATGCATTTGACCAGCAAGTCCTGGTTCTCCTGAAAACAAGTGGATCGCGGTAAACTAATTAGAAAGACAAAAAGAAAAACCAAGGCGTCAGGACATGCCAATAGCCACTTACCAGCTGCTTTTCATTTAGAGATTTCTGTGGTTTTTCCTCTGACTCGGGTTCGCGTGCATTTGATAAGGCAAGAGTCATATCCTGAAGCATATAGCAAACAGTAAGCAATACAAATAAATTCTTATCCTCTAAAGATTTGCAAAACTTTCATTCATTAAAGCAATGAAGTACACTTACCGATGTGACCTTGGATTCTCCATTTACATAATTCCCATTCTCTGGTGTCCTCTGCGGATTTCAAGAAACACTTAACCTATGAGTTTAAATGACAATGCAAATAGATGCAGAATGGGTAATGATCCTAAATTCAATAGATACCTGAATAATCACCGTCCTTGATCTTGAAGATAGAGATTTTCCAGTCGGTGACATGGTCAATGCTTGTTGACGAAGTACTTGATTCTCCGACTCTATGTTCGAAAGCTTCTCCTCTAGCCTGATATGGAGAATAAATCAACTCCAATGAATATGACTTCACAGAAAATCGAGAGAGACAGAGAGAGACAGAGAAAGACAAAGAGAGACAAAGAGAGACAGAGGGATGCTTTGGATAAAATTAAAAAAAAAAAAAAAAAAAAACAAAGGAGGGCACATTTCGAGACAAGAGAGGCAGAGGGAATAGTGCGTATCAAGGTGACAATTGATAGCAGCTTAAAAAAGCCTGATTCGTAAATGTAAAGGAGCAAGAAGGGAAAAAATGTAAAATTGAGTGAAGAATGGGATGAGGGTCAAGCAACTGTTCTGCAGTCTAAGTTGAGCTCTTTTTAGCATAATTTTCCTCCACCTTTTCTCTGGGGCCTCTTTATAATTATAAATTATATGCGTTTGGGCCCAAAAACATTTTCTAAATCTTTTTAGTTCCTTTTAAGTCAGGCGAAAAACAAAAGACCTCAAGTAAAAACGTGAGTAGTAATTGTAAAGGGGTGGTGTGGAAAAATAAACGTAAAAGTGAGTGAAGGGTGGTTAACAACCAACAAAATGTGAGCTTGCATTTTAACCTGCTAGACATGATGGGAAAATCTCGAGCCAGCCAGGTGTACGAAGCATAATCGTTATTATAACATACTAGAAACCTGACAATTCCATTATTACAAGCGTTTACAAACCTCTGTGCAGATTCCTGAAGCTGGTCCACTTTTCTGCATGAATCTTCAAATTGTTTGACCAGCTCTGCATTTCTAGCCTCAGCATCAATAGAAGCTTTCCTTGCCTCTTCCGCTGCCTGTCTTTCTGAGAGCAGCAAGGCCTGTAAAGTTTTAAGGCGTCATTAAGTCAGCACCTACCATAACTTTTCTACATGATATAACTAGAACAACTTTTAAGCAAAAGAACATAAGCTTAACAAAACTCAGGTAATTAATTCAGGCCAAATAGATCAGGCTTCAAGCTAACCCAACCAATTGGCAGTCCTAAACCTAAAATGCACAACCAGTTGCATTTTCAATGTGACTGTCTGCATTACAGAGGTATGACCTCCTCTGAACACAGCAATCATCAGGATCAACTATTATTTGTCTATTTTAGTTGAAAATGCATTATTGTCATCGTTATGGTTATCCGTTACAAACTGGTAAATCTAAAAGGAGAAGATACTTCATTGACAGATAGATAGCATTCATCATCCAAGTTAAAGAGTCCCCACCTTCAAACTCTCCACCTCAGCAGATAATGAGTCAATTTTTTCAGTGTCTTGAATTATTACAGGAGTCTCCTTAATGACAGGAGGTGCTTCTTTAACAGCTTTCTCAAGTGCTTCTCGTTCTCTAATTGCTCTGGCATTTGCTTCTTCTATTTGTATTTGCATTGCATGCAAAGCTTCTTGCAACTTAGCAGTTTCTTGGGCCTTTTCCTCTTCTAAATCAGTCTGCAATTTAACTCATCACACATTAATTTAGGTGCTATTAAATGACCTACTTTCTCTCACCAACCAACAACACCAACCAAAATGGGTATTAAATATAAACATATTTACCCTTAATCGCTTCTCAAGTTGCAGGCGCCATGTAAGTTCTTCCACACGCTTTTCTAGTTTGTCTTTAGCTTCTTTGAGGGCCCCTGTTTCTCTTGCAGCCTGAACAGATTTAAACCACAAAGTAATTGATACGACACCTGAGATCCTCCTATGGAAACAAATCACATTAAGGAGTGTAATACAAACCATTTTGAGATTTCTGAGCTCTTTCCGGGCAACCCTACGCCTCCACCCACACTGCGTATATAATGCAGCTTTCTGGAGACTCCTATAATAAGAATAGGCTATGTGGCCACGCAAATGAGTCTGGAAGCAATCAACAAGAACAACTAATCAATATTAATTCATCTGAAACAAGATGCATGAACAGAAACATAGAAGTTCCTAGATTTCCTCACGAAATTTAAAACAATACAGTAAGAATATGAGTGATGATAGGACCTGGATAAGAATTGCAGCCTTAGTTTGCTTTCTGAATCTGAATTCATTTCGAGCAGTCATTGCTCTCAACCCTGTCTGTATTGTGATTGCAGACAACCGTACTGTCGAGAATGATTTCCTGGCAATGTATCGTCGGAAATCTTTCTGTATCTTGACAGCTGCTGCTTGTTGTCGCAGCTGCTCAAATATCTCACGAGCATATGTTCCTGATTTTTTTTTATAAAAACCAAGAATACAATTATAATCTGGAATACCTCTGGGTTGAACACCAATTAATATGATGTGTTAGGCCAAAGGTTATTATTTAAATGCCAATAGATGATGATACCTCTCACATAAGATTGCAATTGAATAGCAGCTTTGCGTAATGCAAAGAACTCTTTGCGTGCAACATATGTACGGATTTGTCTTTGTATAGTTCTGGCTGCATTTCCAAGTACCTCTGCTCTCCTTGCATCCAACTCAGCCATCTGACCAGCTCTTAGAAAGACCTTTGTCTTGCCTATCTGCCAAGGAGTTGAACAAAATGATTATCAGACAAAAGGTTCATCGACAAAATGCTTGGCAAAATATGAAAAATCAAGTGAATTACGCAGAAAACAACAGCATACATATAGTAAGTTCAAACAGGTTACACAAGCATCATCTATATGATAGCACTAAGAACTAAGAAAAAGTGAAGAAATTTCAGAAAGCTATTAGCCTGCTAGGGACAGCTGACAGGCATGGATAGTCGGGTCCCCATCAACTCCTATTAGAACAGGGATGTCAGGCCTACAACCTGGGTTCGTGCAGTAATGACCTCATCTCAAGCCGGCATTGTTTAAAGATAAGCTTGGGTATAAAATATAGGGTGCATATGGGTCGCACTACCCAAGCCTGCCTAACTGCCGTAGCTAAGTAGTATCATCAATGAACATAAAAACTTGAATCACCTGATAACCAGTCAATCCCAGTTTATCCAGGATCATTTGGCATGCAACCTTGTCCTCGCAGCTGTTCAGGCAAAAGTAAAAACAATTCAACATTTCTGTTGAAAATGAAAGCTATAGATAAAAAAATCTGTCTTTCACCTGGCATAAAAATGTGTACTTACTTTCCTTCCAAAACTTCAGGAGCAAGAACCCCAAAGCGGAGAAGAAAATCATAAAATGTACGTCGGGTAGGATATCCCGCGCAGCTGATCCTAATTGCCTCAAGAACACCCTGAAAAATAATAATAATAATGACTGGTATAAGCTACCCAGATACACAGGATTTCGGATGATTATTTTTGCAGGTTATGCAGTAGAAATTAAGCACAAGAGGAATTTATAGGCAGATCATACTCACACCACAGCGTAATTGTTGTATAATGTTAAAATTCTCAAAAATGGCAGGCTTGAGGACACTGTTCGGCTTCACACATCTGATATAGTGAGGTTCTGTTGAATTTAAGGTCTCCATCAAAGATTGTAGTTGTAACTGCATTTTCAAGAAGACAATCTCAGTTGTTGCCTCCATAACAAAAAGTTTTCAATAATCTAATATATTAAGATGTAGCTGAACATTAAATTTAAAGTAAAGGTGTTCTGTACAGACAATTCCATACATCGTGTCATGCAACAGACTCGGTGCTCCAGAAAGTGACTAAGAGAGTACATAGTGCTCAATAAATCAAACTTTTGGGTGTTATCTGAGACGACTTTGCAATGTCAAGGATAAGAATTCATCCTCATGTAGACTTATGGCGTCCCTCCGACTCACTACCATAAATTTAAATCTAAAATGTGGATACTAATTTAATAAAAAAACTATAATCCACACCATTATAAGACAGTGTAGAGTACTTGATCCAAATAATACCTTGAAGCGTGATCCAATGGATGAAAACTTCGATGACTTGGATGAATCCTCTGGAAGTGGAGGAAATAGCCCTGCCACAAAAGGGCATTTGGAGGCTGTCAACAGATCCTGGTGCTCTGCAACCACATAATCTTTGTTTTTATCAAGGAACTGATCAGCCAGATAAGTTACCTGAAAAACAATTGATGAAAGTTTAGCAAAAATTACAATAATATATAGAGGTACTGGAGATGCATAATGGCTCCAACATGTATACCTCCCCTGCATAGTGAGATATGGTAAAGCTAGTACGAGAAAGCTTCGGTTTGATAAAGCGCTTGTTTTTTGTAAATGTCTGGTATAACTTCTGAGCAAATGTTTCATGTGTGGATTTAGGAAACATACTGCGAAGCAAAAAGACAAACATGAATCCAACCAAAAGGAAGAATTTAAAGAATTCAAGCTTGAGTACAATTGTTCATAAAAATGAAAATTAGAGGATAAAAAACACAAAAACTAGAGCAAGTTAACTTCTAATTAAGGTAAGAATTCTGATTCCATCAACTTCATAAAAAATTGCATGATTAAATATTATCTACATACCAGGCTTCATCTAAAAGTGCAATTATCCCTCCAGGTTTCTGGAAACAGAAAAGAAAAAAAAAAGATTAAACAATAACTCAAGTGAAATGGAATGAGGAAACCGTAGACTTCTGTTATTCTTTCAGATGAAGGAATCCCACATTATGAGTTTGTAGTCATGTAAACTATGCTAGCCATTTTGGATAATAAACAAGAATGCAGCAAGCAACAATCTGTCACCTTTTCAATCAGATCCAACACATCTTGGTTATCAACAAACTCAATGTAGCTCCAATTGATTTCTTCTTTTGTATATTCTTCCTGTTCCATCTTAAAGACATGCTGCAACATGCAATTACCAAAAGATTTTGATTAAGACTGAACTAAACTATTATCATTAAAATTAGGAAGTGAGAACTATGCCAAAAGTTTCTGACCTGATTGAAATGTTGTTGCAACTTCTCATTTGTAAAATTGATACAGAACTGCTCAAAACTATGGAAAAGGAAACTTGTCAGCTGCAAGACTAGATCGTACATTGTAAACAATATTTGAAGTTGAAAGTTTACCTATTGAACTTAAAGCTCTCAAACCCATAAATATCAAGAACTCCAATCAATGTCTTTGAGTTTGGATCTTGACCAATTGAGATGTTAATTTTCTCCACAAGCCTGTTGCATTAAAGAGAATTTAACGTAAGAATCAAAAACAGTGGTTAGAATACATGTGTTTGATACTATACGACAACAGATGTTCATGGCTAAACATGCATGGACACAACAAACACGTACAAATAAAACCACTGTAAGGAAGTTCGATTACCAGTCAAACAAACGTGAATAAATAGTTTTGGCTAAGGCATCTCTGCTAGCCAATGCAGAAAGAGGGTCAAGAGTCCTTGTAATGATTTCTTCTGGTGTTACCATTACACGCTTAATGAGAGCATCTTCCAAGCTCTTAGGATCACACCTACAATAAAGAATAATTGATATGTCATTAATAAAAAGGTAATAATATGAGATTCAAAATGCATCAAATGTAGGAAATGATAAAAGGAGCATACTTAAGCAACTCAGCTGTCGTCTTCAGATGGAATCTAGACTTCTCATCCTTAATGACAGAAGAGTCAATATCCTCTCCTTTTGCAAATTCAACATTGCCAAGATGCAGAATTGCAGCTACTACCAAAAAAATTGCATCCTGGAAAAGAAGAATTATTATCAAACTGAATGTAACACCACACAATCTATCTTAGCACATCTGAGAACACCGACCTGCTCTTCTTCACTGATCCCAACTACATCCATAGCCCTTCGGGTTGCAAGATATTCTTCACCGTCATCTATTCCATCCAGCTCATAGCAACTGGATTGATTCAAGTAATGGAATTGTTTGGGGTCTCCCAACTTAAATTTATCTCTCTCCTGAAAGATTTTAAGAAGCAACAATGAACTGTAACCATCCATCACAGGTATAGAACAGCAAAACATATGACGGATGGTGAGGTGTGTGGTTCAATGTCAAATACATTTTAAATACCTCAGGCGGCGAAGCACAAAGAAGGTAAAAACAATGATAGTTTCTTTCAGGATCTGAGATTTGGCAAACTCGAGACCTTTCAAGCAAATAAGTCCTTATAGCTGCCCCAGAGATCCTCCCATTCTTGTCAAATTGAATCTCCACGAATTTACCAAACCGACTGCAATGTGCAAACAGAACAGACATTGAGAGAGTAAACTGTGAAAAGGGAAAGATGTACACCAAATTTCCCTGACATCAGTTGTATGATTTATGTATTAAGATATACAAAAATGATGTAGGCTTGTGTGGCCGGCCAACACAGATTTTACCGAACCAGAACAAAGTATCCAGTCAGAATTTTCTTATAATCTCAAGACAATCTCTCTTCCTTATTAACAATAGAATACTGTTAGATATATATTATATTATTATCTTGCATTTCTTCTTGCACATTGTCCATCATTCATTTGACAGTTAAATGCACGATATGGGAACCAGACACATTTACACTACAATCTTTCTGGCATTGGTGAAACCATGATTCAACTTGTCAAGCTCGGGAATGAAAATACTCACCTGGAGTTGTTGTTTCTGACAGTTTTGGCATTTCCAAATGCTTCAAGAACTGGATTGGACTGTGAATAATCAACCAGAAAATTAATCCAGGTAACAATATTCATCCCATTTGAACTTAAACAATATTACATTTTCAAGATAATATATGGACCACAGTCTAAAGGCAGAATATAGTCTCATCATACTTCTAGAACTTGTTGTTCAACTGTCCGCCCTTCTACACCAATTCGACCTCCAAGGTATGCAAGATATCGCATAAGCATCTTTGTTGTCTCTGTTTTACCAGCACCACTCTCTCCACTAACCAGAATTGAATTGCTTTTTCCCTCATTGATCATTGCTCTGTTATATAAAATACTCAAATAGTAAGAACGTGATGGGAAGAAATGTGGGGGAACTGAGAACATAAATATTGCACCTGATAGGATATATTTAAGTTACCTATATGCAACATCTGCAATTGCAAAAACATGAGGGCTTAACTCCCCAAATTGGGCTCCTTTATATTGTTCCATCATATGCACGTCATACAAATGTGGTAACCTTTGAAATGGATTTACTGCAATCAAAATATTTCCAGTGTATGTCTGGAAAGATATACAAGGATAATACAACAAGACAGTCAAAAACTTTTCATTTCAACTCAAAAATTCCTCCAGCACTACTAACGAACAGAGAAAACTTTGTATCTTACATATATTTCATTGAGTTCATATCTGGCTGCCAAATTATTCAGAACTCCTGGTTCATGCAAATATGACAGCTTTGTCATGTCATCCACACCTCCAGGAGGAGCTTCAGTATCCTCGGGAAAGACTTTTGAGATATTTGAAACAACCTGCAACCAGATTTTCAGTTAGTGAACGTTATAATACCTAGCATAAAGTATATCATGATTAGTCGTACATCAAATTTCCACATTAAAATTTGATGATCAAAAAAACCAATTTCATTTGCATAGAGAAGTTTCCAATGCAACAAAAACATATCTCTCATCACACAGTAAATACATTAAGTATGGCTCACCGTTTTCCCATTTTTGGTACGTATGTGAACTTCTTCACCACTAATACGGAAAACTTCTCCACCAATCCATGCTTCCTTTGGATCTTCAACCCAGACATGAGAACCTACAATAATGTTAACTGGTGGAGCCTGCAAACACAAACACGTTAGAATGGAAAAGATAAAACGAATACAATAAACTATTGTTCACAAACAGCACATAAATGAAAAAGAAACATTTCTCAAGAGAACTATTTTATAGCTCAACTTTTTGGATTTTATAAAATCAATGAAGTGTTTTAGTAACAACTTTCTACCATAATGGAATAGAGTCAATAGGAATTCGATCCAAAAGTAAACCTTATACGAGTGAGTTCATAATAAGTTCAACTATAAATAATACAGGTGTCCAAAGTATTTCATCGAAAATTGTTGGAAAGCTGTTTGAAAATTTAACTTAAAAGTTGAATCAAATAACGTACTCAATGGCTATAAAATTCTTTAGAAGACAAATGTAAGTGAAAATTTACACTAAAATCATATTGGTGGCTGGAAAAATCCATGAAGAAAAGTAATAGGACCCCAACATGTATCTAACAAAATTCAACAGTTGTTCAAAACAAAAAACAAAAAATCAACAAATTGTTCACGGACTTTAAAACCACTAAAGGAAACTAAAACAAGAAATACGGCTAAAAACCAGAAGTAGCAGACAATAAATTTACAATTGCAGCAACATTGCCACAGACACCCCTCCAACATCTTCGACCTCCATTTCAATATTTGACTTAATGTTGACTATGAAGCCACATTCAAAGTTTATGGCACAACTAACCACACTACTTCCAAAAGCTCCATTTCTTATATATATTGAAAGGCCGCGAACAACTATTATGCATGAAAGTTGCAATGCCAACGAACATCCAGAATTCAAAATCCTTCTAGCATGACGGGAGCCGTCCAAGTCCTTGTTAATTGACTAAAATGGACCACCACCCTCTCACTAATTTCAAAAATTACCTTGCCATGTCATTTCGTATGGAATTAGAACCTCTTATGGTAAGTAAATTATTCCCCATCCACTTCACCTATCACATGATTACGCATATGACTAAACTCAGCCGAATCTATCAAGTAGAATTGGATTGTTTAGACCACAATGCCTCTACTAGACAATCTTAATGCTCTTAGCATCAAAATCCAACAATACATTTTTTTCATCTCTTTGTTCCTCTTGTAGCGGCCATAGCTACCGATGCATATTCATTGAATTTGAATTTCGCAAACCCTTTTCGCATCGCAACCAATAAAAGCTGACAATTCAAAAATTAAAAATTAAACATTTGTGCCTGTTTTTGCAAATTTCTTATCTTTTCAATTGCTACATGATTTGAGCTACAAAACTAAAAACCATACAATCAATCCGGAGCTTCGGATAATCAAACTTTCAGCAAATTAAGCCAAACCAACAATTTCACTAATAAAAAAAAAACTAAATCAAAATGAAACTTGCATAATCAAACTTCAGCTAAGCTAACCAATCAATCAAATAAATCAAACTAATCAACCATTTCAACATATTTCTTTCAAGTTACCATATCGATTGCACAGAGCGATCTCCTCTGCTATGACATCCGATACAGGACAGAGGCAAACAGCAAGTGATTCGGCGAGTCAGATCGGAGCGAACCGGACCGGAAGCTTTGAACTTTCAGCCGCAATACCGACAAACAAATTTGAACTTCGAGCCGGCGAAGACGAGAAGGGAAAGCGTACAAAGCAGACGATAAAATTCTCGGCCCCTTTCTTCCGAAGCTTTTTTTTCTTTTTTTTTTCGATTTTTTTGTTTCTCTCTCTAGAAATCGAGGTGTGGAAGCTTAAATACGAAAAAGCCTTGAAAGCTTCTACGTCTCTCTGTCTCTTTCTCTCTCTAAGTTTTTGAGTCTTTCTCTCTCCAAGTTGTTGAGTCCTTCTCTCTCTAAAAGTTTTTGAAGTTGTGCGCTCTCCGTTGTTGCTTGCGGCTGTGCGTTTCGGACAGTTAGAGTATTTTTCTACTTTTTTTATTTTACTGGTCTGGTCAGCAGGGGTCCTAGAGAGAGAAAGTAGAGAGAGAAAGGAGGAAATGCTTCGTGAGCTCCACAAAAGTTGGCTTTCGGCTCTAAAACCGACAGATTAGAATCAAAATCTATGTTTATTGGGTAGATACGTCTTTTTAAATTACGAAAAAACCCTTCTTCATTTTAAGAGGTATTTTTTTCTACCGACTTTGACTAAACGCTCATGTACAAGCTGCTAAAATACATTAGGAAACTATTATTTGTATTGACTAACATATACTATTTAGATATCACATATATTTGATAAGCATCACTCATCTTCAATGATGACGCTCAGTAATGTAGCGGAATTTAGAATATGGATATTTATGGAAATGTATCATGGACGGAATTAGTGAAAGGTAATAATACCTTGTAAATATCTATTTAACTTCATTATTGTAATATGTTTTCAATGTAGATAAAACGGTATAAATGATTAAAATGCACACGAGATTTATAGATTTATGATCCAATTACGGTTATTGAGAATCTTATAAGAATTAAGGAATGTATGGAATTCATAATTATTATGAATTTTTGCGATATTATTTGAAACTGTAATGAACTAAGTTTCAAATTTTCATAATTCTTTATTCAAAAGTAAAAACAAAATATAGTATTTTCAATTTGAATTTGTGTTGTTGGAGTAATTAATCACTATTTTACCAACTTTTTGACTTGACTAATTTGCACAAGGCCGATTTGAGCAACTACATTAGTAGTTTTTTTATCACCAATTCACCAAGGAGGTTAAAATGGTAATTCGCACAACGCCAAACGACCAATATATTCTTATGAATAGAATTACGTTTTACGACATGACAAACCGATATCCGCCTACAATTCGCTGGCGCCTGAATTTTGTATTGCCTCTAAATACTTGGGCTGGAGGAAACATTCCGTGTAAACACTCACACTGTATGTTGGGTGTCCGTGGATTGCCAATTTTTTTTTTTTTGGATACAAAAGTAAAGTTCTTTTTTTTTTTCTTTTTTTTTTTTTTTTGAGAGAACTAGTAAAGTTATTTACCAAAACACAAACTTACAACACAAAGGCCCAAAGACAAAAAATACAAGCAAGAAAGAGTGGGCCAGCCTAACAAACCAAAAATGAGTTCAACCAAAAGTTGAGGCCCTAAGCAGAAAGAAAGCCAAAAAAACTGAGAATTCCACTGCAACCACCGCCGCAGCAGTGCATCTCGACCCACACAACTCCATGCCCCAACCAAGTATCGCCTCGTCGATCACCATCATTCAAACCCAATCATCCCTCCGAGCACAACCACAAAGTGAAGAGAACCAGCAACCAAGTGAAAGAAGCTCGTGGGATTCCACTCGCAACACTGCCAACAAAGGCAAACATTTATTCACCATCTCGGTGGGCTGCAATAAATCGTGGTGAAGCGTGACTGCATATCGAAGCTTGAATAAACAAGGAGGAAGAACACATATGGGGTGAGAAGAAAAGGGCAAACCGAAATGGAGAATAGGGGAAAAGCAGTAGAAGGGAGATAAGGAGGAGACAAAGAAAGAGAGGAAATAACAACCACTAACCCATGCCACAGCTAGAATCGGCGACACCGAATTTGAACCCAATGGAACCCACTCACACCAACTGTGAGAATCGCCTTTAAACAGAGGGTCTCTCATAGGGTGAGAAAAAAGTAGCTAACGCAGGCTTAATTTGTGTTCCCCATGGCCACAAAGTATGAGATTCGTTATTTAGGTACCAAAAAAGGATTTGAGAGAGGTTATATTTAAACCATGAGATTTGATATTCACAACCCTATTAACAAAGAATGTGTTGAAGTAAAAATGAGTGTGTTTCAGCCACGCCAATTGTTATGACCTTTGGTCACCATCCTTTGATCAAAAACCAAATTATAAATTAGAGCTATGATAATCTTTTGGAACTAATTTTTTCCCTAATTTCTTTTACTAATTAGAAAGCAAAAGAATTTAGTTATATTTGGATCATATTTCACGTGGGTGGCTCCAAAATTTATGATATTATTCAAAATATTTGTGGTTCAATTAAATAACTATTGACTCGATTGCTTACGAAAATAAATAAATATTGACACAATTAACTCATAAAATAAATAAATAAATATTCTCAAACAACTTACGAAAATAAATAAATATTAACTCATAAAATAAATAAATAAATAAATAAAGATTGACGGACACGATTCATGGATGCTCGTGCATGTGGATTTTTTTTATTATTATTTTTGTTTAGTTTAAGAAGAGGGGGCAATTTTGACATTTTGAATGTTTCACCGAATCTTGCCTCTCCCATTATATATAAAGATTCACCAAATGTATTTGATTTTCTTCTGCTTTCAGTATCACTAGCAATTATCGAATAATAAATTTGTGTATCACAAATTATATACCCGAACATGTTGCAACAAAATTGTAATATCCCGAAAATTTTAAGTGGGGATTAAGAGTGAATCACTTGTGGTCTTTGTTAGCAAAAATTGATTTGCCTTATTTGAGGTTAGATCAATTGGCCTTTGGCCATTAAAAGTTTTTAAAAAAAATAAAAATAAATAAAATTAAAAAAAGGGTAAAGTTGACGTTTAGGATATAAAAAAAGGGGATGGGTTATAGAAATCCCCATTTAGCTGCTTTCCCTCCAGCCAAAAGTAATGAAAGGGGTTTACCCCTTTTAGCTCTTCACTTGTCAAAAAGAAAATCTAAGGAAGAGGAGTTTAGTTTTCTTTGCTTGTGAAGATTAGAACAATTGAGGATCTTTCTTTTGTCTCCATTTAAGGTATCTATTTCTTACCTTTGGGATCTATTTGATTTTTTTGGTTTGTTAACCCATGAATTAGTTTGGGTGGGAGTAAAAGAACATGAAGGTATCATAGTTCATGTTAGTTTTAGAGTTGAGCACCAAGTGTTTGATTTAAGTCTCCAATTAACCTTGAATTAGGGTATGTTGTTAGATATTTGTATAAGTGGTGTGTAATGATTTTTCTTGTTTATAGATAAGGAAGAGAACGGCAAGGGGATGGCACAAGTCGACGAACACCCTGGAAGTTGAATATCAATAAATTGTGTTGAGGTAGGGGAGTTTTAATCAAAAATAAAATATTTTGGTTTTTCATTTTTACTTGATCAAGGATTGATGGCATTTGAGCATTATTTGAAGCTTACTTAAAATGTTTTCTTTTTCGATTATGTGAAAGAAGTGAAGAAAATATTTCACTATGGTTTAATCTTAATGATTCGAATTCCGTTACTACAATTTTGGTGAGTTTAAAGTGATTGAAATGATTTTTCAAGATTTTGTTTTGATGTGCATGCCTCTTATTTTGCTCAATATCAAATACTGAAGCATCTCAATACGAATGTTCAAATTGTGAAAGTAGATGGAAAGTAGTGTAATACCTGTGTAGTTGAGAATGTTGAGAAATGTATGAATGGACACAATGACCCATGAAGTTGTTTGATTATGGGCACAATGACCCAAGGTTCCCCGGGAAAAGCTCCATGTGTGGGGGGGGGGGGCTATGAGAATGAGTTACGAAAGTGATAAATACATGTGATATGTATATTGGCCAGGTATATTACGGTTCTTTCCAATCTGCTTGTCACTTGTTTGGGATAAAAGAAGATCTTTGTGATTTGGTGTGCTAGTGATTCTTTAATGATAATGGCTTTGTTATCCTTATGACAAAAGAAGTGATTTTTGAACTTGTGTGTTGTACCGTTGTGTTGACCCTAAAAACTACCAAGCCTACGTGGCACGCAGGCCGAGTAATCTATAAGCTAACTACGTCCTTCGGTGAATGCGGGGCGTGCCAACTCGTCGGCCGAGCTCGGCCGAGGAGTAAAAATTTGTTGATGTTGGGTGCGCGGCTGACTTCTGCGTCTTGCGATTGCGGCCGAGAAAGGAACACGTCTCGGCCTCTTGGGCTCTCGAACTTGAAGACAAGGTTACTATTCTTACGAAGTTCAATATCAAATTCGGCTTTCAATGTGCCGAATGTAATAACTTGTAACACCTCACTTCGCCGAGAAGACTGATGAGATGACCTCGACCAATAAGGATTCAGGAATCCTTCTCGACCGAGACTTGGATTGGTAATCAACTGTCATCGCCGCAGTGCTGTTGATGCCAACGGAAGATGCTGCGAGACCGACTGATTCTACGGTGACAGAGCTATCTATGACGACTTAAGATATCACCGGTTACTTTCACAGTGCTGTTAATGCCAACGGAAGATGTGTCAGCGAAAAGAGAAAATAAAATATCTCAAAGTTGTTGAGAGGGTTTGCGCAGGGCAGTTTTGTGTTGAATTGGAGGTCCCTTTTGTGTTCCATGACCCCTTGTATTTATAGTGGCTACATATCTGCTCACAGCCTGATTCTCGAGTAGAGTCTTATTTCAAATTCCCATGTATCTGACGTGACTTAGATAACCTTCTGTAAACAACCACCAATTATATATATATATATATATATATATATATATATATATATATATATATATATATAATAGCCTTTCACACGGCATCAGGCTAACCTTCTGCCACTTCCATCTAGGCTTATCACATCACATTCCTAATCCACCTAGGCTTCTCTCTCATCACCAAAACTCCATCAGTAGCCTTTATCTAACCAACAATTAATTTGCACGCAAATGGCTGCTTAACCAGATAAGAGTCCCAAAGCTTGAGATATAGTTTGCATCCCATTTATCTTATATAAAAATAATTCTTTACTAAAAGATAATTATTATGATAAAACCATAATAATATCTTTTAATAATAAAATTATCTTCACCTTCTCATCCATCGGTCTGACACTACGCTCAACCAACGGCCTTGATTGCACGGGCCGATGGTGTAAATTTGGGTCCAAACACGTTGTTATCAAGCTACTAATGCTCCGAAACCTTTTGTTTTTCTGTCATATGTTACTTTCCATAAATTTTTTAGCATATTTAAAATTGTTGGATTACGTGGTGGTGAAAATAAACGGTTTTGAATCACTCTTATTACTTTCGGCATGCACTAGAGATTTTAAATGACTATGGACTTACCCCTATTGGGCATTTTATGCTCACACCGTTTTTCTAAACATGTACTTTCAGGTGTGTAGAGTCGATTAGTTGATTTTCAAGTGGTAACTCTAGTGTGGGTTAGTTGACGGGAGTCCAGGCGTACACTTCTTTTGGGTGAGTTGCCAAAGTGTTTGTATAGTTAGTTTCTGTTTGTAAATGATTCTTTTGTGGCGTAGTAGACTAAAATGATGTCGACCTCGATGGGTTGGAGATTCTACTTACATGGGCTATGAAAACCATGTATGTATAACTACTCGTCTTTTGGCTTGTATAGTTTTGCTCATGTACATTTTCCTCAAATGGCCTGAAAATGTTTTCTTGTTAGAAGCCCCAAAAGTCTTTTGTGAACTTATTTTAATATGTAAGATTTTATGAATGGCTTTTGAATAACCACTATGAATTTGGTTATGTTTAAAACTGTAGGTGTGTATCTATTACCTAAGTGGTATGTTGCAAAAATTCAGATTTTTGTTCTTTGGAATATAGATAGTTTTATATGCAAAGTAATTTGGTGCTGCTGAAGTTGTTTTTACAGGAAAACAGCAGCATGCCTGTTTTAGTTTTAACATTTTCCTATACTTCCCGAACTCGAAAATCAATGAAATTTTGACACAACTTAGTTTCATGGGTCTACTTTGGATCTGGAAATTTTCACCCATTTTGGTTGAATGAGCTATTTTCGGTGAATTTTACGGTTCAGGTCGCTTTTGTAGTTTGTATTACCATGAGATCTTTAACTCTATTTCTTTAAATTGACTTTTGTAGTTTAACTTTATGGAAATTGGGGGATTTAAATTTTTGTCGACATAATCTTAAGATGAGATTTGTTTTGCATCCTTAAACGACCCCTTTGTTCTATTTATTTTACTTAATCTCACACCTCAAGTTTTGGGGTGTGACAAAAACTATACACAACCTAATTTGATAAGTTGCTTGTAGCATACCTACAAACGGAAATCCCTTGATATATTGGGCGTAAGCATGGTGAGACTGTTACTATTTAGGCCTAAACTACAAGTGAATTAATGTTAACATCACAATTTGGGTTAGCTCTTTTAGTTCTCAATCTGGTTTGGTTCAATTAAGTTCAAACGAGTAGCATTATTGAACCAAATCAATCGTTTTATTGACCAATTTGATTCAATTTTTTTTCCTCCGTAAACAAGTTAGCAAATATTCTAATGTAGCTGACATATATCTATAAGTCGACCAAGAGTTAAAATAAGAAAATTGAAAGATGATCAACGTGTTAGAAACAAAGTATGGAGTAGGAGAAAATAGAGAGAGAGAAGAGAGACATTGGGCGAGGAATTGACGTACAATTTTTTTCTTATTAGAGTGTCTATTAATGACAAGGAATTTACGTAGAAAGATATTCAATTATTAAGATATTACATATTATTGAAGTAGAACGTGAATAGTCACATAATGAATAATATTGACAACACTTTACACACACAAAAAAAAGTAATGAGATTTCATAATAATAATGAAATTTCAATACATTTCTAGGGATGGCAACAAGACAGATTGAGTTCGGATGTGTCATCCCCATAACCAAACCCGTTTAATTTCCCCGAACACAAAAGCGTAAAATCCCTGAACGGGGATTCCCTGTAACCAAATC